GGGGGGGGGGGGTGCCAGGTGCCTGCCACCAAACGTCACACATGTCCAGGTGTCGAAGGTGCGTGAGGCAAACGGCAGGTTGGAGGTCAGAGGTAAGTGTAAGCAGCACAGGCACGGACAGGTCACACGATGACAGATGTTATCTGGCCCCAGGAGAGCAGAGATGTGGGGTGCGTTAGGACTGGGGAAGGAGACAAGCCCCCCTGAGGTGAGGTAGCAGGAGGACCCGGGCTAGCCGGGAGGCGCTGGTGACAGTGGCCGACGGGCTCGGGGGCACTGGTGCTTGCACGGCGGGCCGGGCACCTTGGACCCAGGGCAGTTTCAGCTTTTAAGTTTCAGCCTCTGCGAGAGCATTCTCCAGCACGGGTGTCTCCATCGGTGAGAACAGGCCAGTATGTTGATTTTTATTGCAGACCATGAATCTGGACCCTCCAATGTGGTAGATACCAGGTTTATTTCAATGATCAAAGTAGCAATTCTTTTCATCTCCAAAACCAAGCGAGACATCGGTTTCCTTTCATCAGAGTCCCGTTGCTGTCAGTGTCTTAGGTCAGAAAACCAAGGAAAGGAAAAGCCGGTGAACCTGGCGGTCACGCACACGTGTTACTGAGCTCAGGAAGTGCGGCCTAGGTTGAAGGGGCCTCCCAGGGGAGCTCCCCAGGGGAGCACTGCCCCCGCCCCAGGTTTAGGGGGGTGGATGAAGACCTACCTGAAATCTGTTTATTAGCAACACGTTTCTGCAGACATGAAAGATGTCACAAGGCTGGACGTGTGGCTACGGATTTTTCCTCTAAACTGAAAGCCCGTTCTGACGAGCTTTGCCTGTATCGTGCCGCCTTACCTGATCCCCGTCCTCCCTGCCCAGCTTAATCATCCTTTGCACCTTGAATTTCCTGCAGACCCCGGAAGAACCCCGACCTTCCCTTCCCACCAGCAGGCCCTCTCAGCAGGACTCTGAGCCAGATACAAGCGAGGAGGGCTTCTCCCGGCCCCCCTCCACCTGCTCCGAGGGGCGAAGAGACACGGCAGCCAGGATCCTGCAGAGCCGGTGGAGGGTATACAGACACCAGGTGAGAGCCCACGAAGGCCCTGCCGTGGTCTGTGGCCCTGGGGCCCCTTCGACACGCGGGCTCTGTGCTGTGTGCAGCTGGCATGTGGGAACGTGCGGGAGGGACAGCGAGGATGCGGGAGGGACAGCGTGGATACGGCTGAGGACAATGTCGCGGGGGGGTGAGGGAGACACCAGCACCTGGCCCCACGGTGGAGGGAGCGGGTCCTGCGGGGAAGGAAGTGACCTGGTGCACACGGGGGCCGCATTCTGGAATCACCGCCCCGTCCCTCTGAGCACGGGCCGGAGCGTGGGATCCACAGTGAAGCGGATCTATCTCGGAAGCAACTGGAATTGAAACCCCCGGAGGAGCCCCTTTTCTGCGGCCGCCTGGGAGGAAGCAGCTTGGGCTGTGGGCCATTTTATTGTGACTGAAAAACCTGCCTCCGAGCGCGTGCGTCTCAGCCGGAGGGAGGAGGGAGGCAGGGGCTGTGTATATGCCGAGCGCCTTTGTGCTTGGGGAGAGTGGGGCGAAGGGCCCAGGGAGCCCCCGTCTCATGGCGCTGTCTCATGGCCGTGGGGGGGGGGGGGGGGGGGGACTGGGGCCCTCTCCTAAGCTCCTGGGACGAGGGGGCCGTCTCCTTGCGCCAGCCGCATGGCATGCCCCGAGAGAGCTGCCCGGTTTTTGGTTTTGTAGAACACAGGTTTTGTAGAAAGCAGGGTGCTTTCTCCCGAGGGAACCAACAAACCCCGGTGAGGCCCCTCCTTGCCTGAATATCAGAAGGCTGCCAGGAGGGCTTTTTAAATTGCTGTTTCTTCCAAACTTTCATCACGAAAACTCACAGGACATTTAGAAGGGCTAGAAGACTTTCGGGCATTCCAGGAATTCTTGCCACCAACCCGACCCACCCGTAGTCGACACGTAGGCACGTTTCCTTTCTATTCCGACCATTCCTCCCCAGCGCCACGTGGACGTGAGGCTCAGACGTTACGAGGGTCCGGCTTGCATCGTGTAAGCACGAGGACATGTCCTAGCGGACCGCAGCACGTGCCGTCAGATGCCCCAGAGACGCAGCAGTGACTCTGACTTCACCTGGTGTCGCCTCCATATTCAGACCTCTCCAGGTGTCCCAGGATGCCCCTTTACTTGTTGTCGGTCCCCTCTATTTCCTGGAAGGGGCAGGTTAGGTCCACAGGCTTGACTCGCTTCAGGTTGAACATTTTTGGCCAGAGCACCCCCCAGGTGGTTCCGGGCACACGGTCTCCCTTCCCACAGGTGACACCGGGCGGTCCCGCCACCATCTAGCTGCAGGCACTGGGTGGTGCGGCTGCCGGCGCTTGCCGCTGTAAAGAAACGCCTTTCCCCGCTGATGAACCCATGACGTGCCTTTCACCGGTGGCCCCAGCAGCCTTACGCGCCTTAGCTCAGCCCTTCGTTTCGCGCGGTTGCGGGATGACTTCAGACCCCCCTCCCCTGCTTAGTGGCCGGCACTCTTCCGTAAAGCAGTTTTCCTGATCAGCTGGTCCGCACAGCACAGCCCCGGGGCCTTCTGGAAGGGCAGGGTCAAGGCTTTGCTGTCCTCCCTCGAGTACTAGGTAAGCACTGATGGCAGGACAGGGAACTGTGTGGTGGCGGCTCTGGCGGCCAGAGCCCCTCCCCCCACGCTCTGCGGGGCGGCGGCATCACTACGTCTAAGAGGGATTACTGTTACTCTTGGTAGCGTTCAGCCCGTCCCACGTTCGGTCAGTGGGAGCACTCCGTCTGGCTCCGTCCGTCCATGCCTCTGGTCTTGCTGGCGCAGCCTCGCTTTCTGGCACAAGGAGGCGTCGCGGGCTCCCGGTCCTCCTCACCCCAGACCGGATGGAGCTCGCCGTTTCCAAGGCACCTGCCGTGTCCACCTCGCTCCCTGCTCCCACCCACCAGGCACTGGCTTCCTCCCCCTGTCGCCCCCCCAGAAGCTGGGGCACAGCCGGCTTGGAGACTCATGAGTTAAATCCTTCCTTCCTTCAGGATTCTGCTTTAAAAGAACTCAGAATAGAAGGAAATGCGCGTACCGACATGTAGGTACAAAGCATTTGAAAGGCCACTCGGGTCGGAAACGAGAGTCCTGGGACCTCCCTCTGGGGTCCGCTTGGTCTGCACGTCTCGGGCTCACGCTGGGTTTCGAGGGTGTCTGAGGCCATGAGCAGGAAGGCCCTGGACTCGCCTGGAGCCCTCCCAGCCAGTGTGGTTGTGCCCCACACCCAGCTAAGCTTTTTTCTCAAGTTTATCATTTTGAGAGAGAGAGTAGGGAAGGGGCAGAGACAGAGGGAGAGAGAATCCCCAGCAGGCTCCACACTGTCAGTGCAGAGCCCGACGTGGGGCTCGATCCCACGAACAGTGAGATCACGACCCGAGATCAAGAGTCGGACGCTTAACCCATCGAGCCACCCAGGTGCCCACGAGCTTTGGGGTGAGCCGCAGGATGCCCTGGCCAGGGCCTGCAGCCGGCCGCGGACCGGCATGTCTCCTGAGTCACAGGCCGTTTCCGCGGGCAACATGATTCCATCTTCTCCGTGTGTCACGGCACATTCCCACGCCTCCACTTTGCTCTCTTCAGGCTTCACGTGAGACGTCCTCACTCCCCACCCCGTGTCCCTGCCAGTACTTTGCTGTCCTCGTCTGCTGCTTGAGATTATCTTTGCCGGTCTCGACCACTACTGTTATCAAACGTGTTTTTTTCCTTCCTTCCTCCCTCCCTCCCTCCTTTCTTTCTCTCTCTCTCTCTCTCCCTCCCTCCCTCCCTCCCTCCCTCTCCACTCTGCTGGTGCTCATACTCCATTTCCCTTCATCTGTCAAGGGATAAATCCTTTTCTGTAACAGCTGTGGGCTGTGCACTCTGATTAATACTGAAAATGAGCTGGTTAATGTACGTTTTATCGACGATGGCCACGGTCCACCACAGGCACATGTATCATCCTGGGGTTCCCACCCTGGAAGGACCTGGGCTATAAAAATACGTATTCTTGGGTCTCATCTGTGCTGACTCTGGATCAGCCTGTCTTGGGTGTAGCTGATTTTTCTCAAGTCCCTGGGTGCTTCTCACAACGGATCAGATTTGGGGGCCAGTGACCCAGACCCGTGGACGGGGTCCCCTTTGTAATTTCTCCAGCAGGCAGTGCCCAGCCCCTGTGTGACCACCCAGAGAGGGCACCCGTGTCAAGACAGCTCCAGCCGTGGGGAGGGGCTTCCCCGCCTGGAGCCGAAGACACGCACACGTGTTGATGCTCGTGAGACACTGTCTCACGGAGCTCGCTGCCACGGGCTGGCCAAGAGTTGCAGGCGACACCAAGGTGTCTCGTCTTTAACCGTGACCCGCCCTGAGAAAGCCGGCCGTCTAGTTACGGCTGCCGGCCCCTCAGCACTGTCAGCCAGGCGGAGGAGGAACAGGGACGCACGGAGCCCCCTGGGGTGTGGGTGGCAAGGAGGGGGCTCTCTGAGGGGAGTGCCCTGGTACCCCGACTCTGCTTTTCCACCCATGGCGACTGGGGCTGGGGCAGGGGCAGGATCAGGAAATGAATACTACTGTAAAAAATTCATCCTTGTGTTAATTCATGATTTATCTCTTTATTTCAGAAAAAAAAGGCCGTCCTGGACGAGGTAAGCAAAGTTTATTTCATCCGTTTCAAAATATGTATTTCTGCACCGGAGCAAAGTCCCAGCGGGATGTCTCAGGAAGCATCACGGGCACTTGGTTTCGTGAAATCAGACCAGCCCCAAGTGATATCAACATCAAATGAATATTTGGGTAGCTTCACACCTTCAAACTCATTCATTCATTCATTCAATCATTCCTTCTTTCAACACACTTTTCTCGGTCATCAGTTCGGAGTCAGGCAACCCGGCGGGCCCTCGGGACTCAAAAAAGATGTTGACTCAAACAGCAGATGGGTCGTCGCAGGTCAAGGTGGCAGGTGTGGCTTAGGGCTCGTGTCCAGGTGTGCCGTGGGGTCTGGGGAATGTGGGGGCTCCCAGGCTGAGAGGAAGGGCTCCAGGCAGAAGACGGGTGTGCGAAGGAGCACAGCCTGCCCCGGAGGAGAGCAGGTGTGTGTGAGCGGCTGGGCGCGGGCTGGGAGGTGCCGGCACTGACGGAGTCTGAGACCCGCACGGCCCCTTGCTGCTGCTGTCGCCTTCCCCACCAGCCTGTTCCCCACGCAGCCTCCGGGGTGACATGTCTTACGTGTTAAATAACACCCACCGCCGCATAAGACCTGCTCTCAACTTGGAGCAAATTCCAAAGCTGTTGCCTGAACACCCTCTGTGCCACATGTCCTGGCGACCCCTCCAGCCCTGCTCATTCTTCTCTAGCCAGTCTGGAGGCTTCTTTAACACTCCTCGAAAACACCAGCATATTCCTGCCACAGGGCCTTTGCACTTGCTGCCCCTCTGCCTAGAAGGCTCTTCCTCCAGATACTTGCACATTTTGCCCCCTTGCTTTACACAGGTCCGTACCGAAACATTACCTCCTCAATGACACCCTCTCTGAATACCCCGTGCCAGCCATCACTCCGGCCTCGTGTCCTGCTTTAGTTCTCCTTGTGGCTTTTATCCCTGTTTGATATTCTGATAGCTTACTTCTTTGCAAACTGCTTGTCTCACATTGCAGTGGAGGTTCCGCGGAGGCAAAGACTGACTCTGCCTTTGGGCCACTATGTCCATAGGTCCCAGGACGCGGCCTGCCATATGGTAGGCATTCGGCAAATCTGTGCAATGAGCGGGTGAATGGCTGAGCTTGGGACTCCTCCAGGGACCCTGGAGCGCGTCTACCAGCCGGCCGGCCGGCCCGTGCTGTCGTGCTCCGCTGCGGTCTCCGGTGCCGCCCCAGGCCCGAGCGTCCTTGCCTCTCCAGGCAGGTGCGGTGCGGCCGAGCTGTGGTTGGTGTAAGTCAGCAGCCACCACCCTCAGCCCGTGTCGCCCGTAAGGAGCCCTAGGTCCCTGCTGTCCGTGTGTAGCGAGCCCCCTGGGTCGGTCTACACGTGCGTTTGCCTGTTTGATTTTGCCTTAATGAAGGTCCCCTTACCGCACTTTGTTGGGCCTGTTTTTTTTTTTTTTTTTTTAATGTTTGTTTACTTTTGAGAGAGAGAGTGTCATTGCAAGTGGGGGAGGGACAGAGAGAGAGGGAGACAGAGAATCCGAAGCAGGCTCCAGGCTCCCAGCTGGCAGCACAGAGCCCATTGCGGGGCTCAAACTCACGAACCTCGAGATCATGACCTGAGTCGAAGTCGGACGCTTAACCCACTGAGCCCCCCCAGGTGCCCTTTGTGGGGCCTGTTTCTGAACTCCAAGTTCAGGACGTCTGCTTTACCTTGCCCTCCATAGGGACAAAGCAAAGGTGTTTGGGTTTTTTGTGTGTGTGACTGATTCTGGAAGCCTCTAGGTATCTAAACACACGATGTGTCAGGACTCAACGTACTAAGCGTGTTGTTCCCCTAAAATGCCGTGAAAGCCGAAATCCTTTGTCATGCTGTGACGTTTTCACCCAGGGCTGGTGGCTGCTGCCCCCGAGACCCACGACCCTGACTGCAGAACTCAGCAGAGCATCCACATGTGCGTCTGAAGAAATTATTTAAGTTCAAAAGATAAATAATTCCTTTGCAGCAGTATGAGATCGTGCTCTACACCCTGCTTGATTTTGTGTTTTCTTCATGCTTGCTTGTTTTTGAGAGAGAACGAAAACACGGGTGGGGGAGGGGTAGAGAGAAGGGGACAGAAGATCCCAAGCAGGTTCTGTGCTGACAGCAGTGAGCCCGACGTGGGGCTCAAACTCACACACCATCTCAGGAGCTGAGCTGAAGTCGGACGCTCAACCGACAGAGCCACCCAGGTGCCCCTGCCCTGCCCGCTTTTGGAACATGTGTATGGAAAGCTGTTGCATCCACGCGACTCCTGAAACAGAATGCTACGGACACCAGTGACAGTTACCACAAAGTTTATTACAATGAGAGGCAAGGCTGACCGATCGGGACC